CTTCCCAGATGTGCTTCCATAAGACTAGGGGACCAAACCACTATGGTCATGTTCAAATATGAAAGACTGGTGAACCTTTGCTACTATTGTGGCCACATAGGCCATCTTGATAGAGACTGCCAAGACAGATTAAAAGATATTGAACTGGGGCAAATGAAAAAAGACCAATATGGGGAATGGACTGTAGAGCATAAAGGTGGATACAACTCAGGCTCCTTCAGCAGATCAGAAGACAAGGATTTCAACTCTGGATCAGATATTGCAAGAAGGCAGGCTCCTATGGAGGAATCTATTATGAGGATAACATCTCCAAGTGAAGGAAAGAAGGGGTTAGAAATCAAAGACAAAGCAAATCAGCCTGTGAATATTAGCCTGGGAGAATCTAGTTCTTCCAAAATGGACTGCCAACAGGACTCAAAAGAGGACAATACTCGAGGCAGCGACAGTGGTGGAAAAAAGGAGCAGGGACTAACATTATCCCAAATCCAAGACAAGGATGATGAGATGACTACTGAGACTGAAATGACAAATAGTCCTAGTAAGGGGAAGGTAGATGAATCACACAGCCCAGAGAAAGAAATACCAAAGGAAAAATCAAAATCTTGGAAAAGAATGACTAGTAGAGAGGGAAGACCGCTGAAACATCTGGACCCTATTCAAGAACAGATAACAACTGAGAAGAAGAGGGGAAGAATGTCTACTGATCTAAGTGGAAGTAAAGAAGAGCAGCAAGAGGAAGAGATGAACATTAACAAGAAGAGGAAGACTGAAGCTAATGAGGTGGAGAAGGCCAGCCTTGAATGGCCCCAATGTGAACCATGAAGGCTCTGGTGTGGAATTGTAGAGGTCTGGGTGGACCCTCTACAGTTTCCCAAATCAATGAGTCTATTAGGACCCACCACCCCCATTTTGTGTTTATTTCTGAAACTAAAAACCCAAATGGCTTTGTTCTTTCTGTTTGTAAAAAGTTAGGTTTTGTCAATAGATGTCAAATTGTAAACCCCTCTGTCCTTAGTGGGGGTTTTTTTTCTGTTGGAGTGTAGATATGGAAATCTGTAATGTTATTTGCAATAGTTACTGTGTGGAGGTGGAATATAAACTCCATCCTGATGATAGTTCTTGCTGGGTGATCTTTGTATATCTGAGTACTGACAGGAGGACCAGAGAGACTCGGTGGAGGGAATTAGAAGACAAAAAGGAATCTTGGGGATCTCAATGGTGTATTGACGGTGACTAGAATGATGTGGCTAATCAGGAAGATAAAAGAGGAGGCAGAACAAGATCTGAGAGCAGTATGCAAGGGTTTCAAAATTTCATAGCTAGCATGAATATGGAAGAAGTCTTGAGGAAGGGCTACCCCTACACTTGCGGGAATAACAGAGAAGGTGAAGGTTTTGTAGAGGAAGCCTTGGATAAAGCTTTTGTGTCTATGTGATGGCTGCATCAGTACCCCCATACTCAGGCTACCTCTATTTTTAAAAGCTCCTCTGATCACTGTCAACTTCTTATTGAAGCAAACCCAGCAAACCAACGAGTGAGGAATAGATTCCAATTTGATAGAAGGTGGTTAAGTGATACAGACATACAGGAGGTGTACAAAAAGCTTGGGAGGGAAGTCAGTTAGGGACTCCTATGTTCAGCCTTAAGGAGAAACTAAAGAAAACAAGAATAGCATTATTGTTGTGGAGCCAACATTTTCAATCTGAGAGGGCTACTCATATAAAAAGACTTTCTCTCAGGCTGGAGGAAATGAGAACAGAGGGAGGCAATAAAAACTGTGAAGCTTGGGACCAACTGAAAAAAGAAATGGATGAAGCCAATCAGTCCGAAGAAGTGTATTGGCAACAGAAAGCAAGAGCTCAGTGGATAAGAGAAGGGGATCAAAATACTCAATTTTTTCATGCCTATGTCATGCAAAGGAGGAAACAAATTACTATTGTCAGACTAGTGGACGAGGAGCAAAGGGTTTTAGAATCTAAAGAAGCAATTGACCAACATGTAGCAGAGTATTATGAGCAACTGTTCTCATCTGAAGGTTCAACTGGAGAGTCTGAATTATTACAAAATGTTCCATCTTCGGTTACAGAAGCCACGAACTCTGATTTGCTTGCACCTGTTGAAGAGGAAGATATCAAAGCTGCATTATTCTCCATGCATCCTCAAAAAGCACCAGGTCCTGATGGTATGTCAGCATTATTCTTCCAACATTTTTGGCATATAGTAAAATCAGACCTTTGTTGTGCTGTGGAAAGTTTTTTCTTATCTGGGAGGTTGTTGTCTTACTGGAATCATACCCTTATTACTCTGGTCCCCAAATGTGTGAACCCTTCTTCTCTTAACCACTTCAGGCCAATCAGTCTTTGTGCAGTGGTTTATAAAATCATATCTAAAATTCTGGCATTTAGAATGAAAAATTGTATCAGTGCTTGTGTGAGTGAAAACCAGGCAGCTTTTTTACCTAGAAGGATGCTAACTGACAATGTGGTGATTGCTCAAGAAGGAATTCATTTTTTAAATAGGCATAGGTCAGGCAAATACAGCTTTATGGCGGTTAAACTTGATATGATGAAGGCTTATGATAGAATTGAATGGAGATGCCTTAGACTGACTATGCTTAAGATGGGGTTTGATGCTAAATTTGTGGCCTGGGTTATGGAATGTGTTACTTCAGTTTCCTTCTCATTTATTATGAACGGCAGAACCAGTGGGAACATTTCAGCATCTAGGGGATTGAGGCAGGGCGACCCCTTGTCACCCTATCTATTTATTTTGATTTCAGAGGTGTTATCTGCTTTGATCACTGCAGAAGAATAGAGGGGTAGATACAAAGGATTGTCTGTGGCTAGAGGAGCCCCTATATTGACAGACTTGTTGTTTGCAGACGATTCAATCTTATTTTGCAAAGCAGATGCCTACCAAGCCAGATGTCTGATATCAATGTTAACAAAGTATCATAAATTCTCAGGACAAAAGGTTAACCTGGCCAAATCCTCTGTGTTTTTCAGTAAAAATACAACAGAAGCTGTGCAAAAGGACATCTGTATGATCCTCCAGGGTATTCAACCACAAAGATCCTCTAGATACCTGGGGATGCCTTTGGGGATTGGTCACTCAAAGAAAGAAGTCTTCAGCTTTGTGGTGGAGGCTGTTAGGAAAAGGATAGTAAGTTGGAAGAACAAATTCCTATCCACTGCTGGCAAAGTGGTATTGATAAATTCAGTGCTAAATGCTTTACCTATCTTTGTCATGAGCTGTTTTAGATTACCAGAAGGGATTTGTAAAGAAATTGCTGGGATATTTGCACAATTCTGGTGGAGCAGGGGTTCTGACCACACCAAAGGTCTACACTGGAAAAAATGGAGTATCTTGACCACAACAAAGAAGCATGGAGGTCTGGGTTTCAAGGATGTTAGTCTGTTCAATGAAGCACTTTTAGTTAAACAACTCTGGAGAGTAATCACTCAACCTCAGTTACTAATGAGCAAGATTATTAAAAGCAGGTACTTCCAAAATTCATCTATATTTGATGCAGTGCTGAAACAAAATTCTTCTTGGCTCTGGAGATCTTGGTGGAAGGTGAGGGGACTTCTTCAGGAAGGTCTGGTTGTGGAGGTTAGAAATGGGAGGACTCTGAGACTTCATGATCATAATTGGGTGCCAGGCATGGAGAATAGAGGGCCTAGAATTAAACAAGAGTTCAGTAAACAGAATCTGTGGGTCAAAGATTTAATTGAGGAAAGAACATGCAGGTGGAATGTGCTGAAAGTGCAAGAAGTGGTAGAAGAGGAGGACTGGGCTGCTGTGTTACAGATTCAGAATTTGAACAAAGATTCAGATGATAAGTGGAGATGGAGACTCAACAAAACAGGTATTTTCTCAGTTGCATCTTCTTATACCTGTCTGAGTAAGAAAAAGCTTTTGGATATGGATTTGGCTGAGGGAAGCTCAAATGCTAAAAGAAATATGAAAGTAAGGATGAGGAGTTGGAGACTCAGAGTTAAAGGCAAAATAAAACACTTTATATGGAAGTGTTTTACAGGCTCTCTTCCTGTGAATGTAAATGTAAGGAAGAAAGGTATTGAGATTGATGTTCTGTGCCAAGGTTGTGGAGTAGAAGAAGAAACCATTGAGCATGTGTTCCTCAAATGTGACAGAGCCAAGAAAGTATGGAAACATGCTCCAGTGTGGTGGGATGGGGTGGATGTCAATAACTGCAAATTCACAGACTGGTGGGGTATGGTTTGTAGTGTAGAAAAAGCTGATATTTCTGAAGCCAGGATTGAACTTACCACATATATCTTATGGTGGCTTTGGAAATCAAGAAATTTGTGGTTGTTTGACAAGGTGTGGAGACCTGAGGCCGGCATAATCAAAGGGGCTGTGGGAGAATGGATGGAGAATGGTCAACTTCGTGCAGTAGGCAGAAGGGGTCAACATACTTCTTGAACTAGGTCTGCTCATTTGGAGTAGTGCAGTGGGGAAGAAGCTGTGTTGATGATCTTTTGCTTTGTTTTAGTTCATATTGAGGTGCTGACTGTGGGTTGTTATTGTTCAATGTGTTTGTCTAAAGGAGCCAGTGATGTATACTGCCTTTAGATCATTTTTCCTTCGTTTTTGCTGTTTCTAGGCTACAGATGTTGATGTAGCTTCTCTGGCTTATGCCCTCGGATTTAGGGGCTTTGCCCAGGTTGTAATTTGGACTTTGTACCTTTTCTTTGTTTTAATACAGTTCTCCTATCGTTCCGTTAAAAAAGAAGATCAAGAGTCGAAACAACTTAAAAGCTAGAAAAACAATATAATCGATTACTTGATAAAGAAAACAAAAAAGGCTCACCACGCTTGCGCGGTCCATGTAAGTATACTATCATTACAGACGACATCCTAAAGGTAAAAACTAAAAAAAATACAGAATAACATAACAAACTTTGGGTCGAAAATCATTATATATAGATCATAGTCTTCATACAACAACCACTCCCAAATTCAAACACCTAAGCAACTCAAGCAGCAGCTTGAACCGGCCCGTTAGATCTGAATCCACGACCACTGCCACGAGGGCCCCTGCCACGGCCGCGGCCTGAAGCACGGTGTTCTTCAATACCACATTAATACATAGATACACAACAGCTAAGAAAAACCACAATTCCAGATTTACAGATACGGTAAAAGAAGGTAATGGTTCACAAAGTAGATGATAAAAAATACCCTTCAGATTGAGCGAATCACGTGAAAACAAAATAATCCTCCAAATATACAAAAAAAAAAAAAAAAAAAAAAATGGTATATTTTATACTTCACCATAATTAATAACATATTTCTACACAAGGTCAGAACTTGTATGTCAACCACAAGCAAAGGATTCGCATATGCAACGGAATATTTATTCTCTACATCAAATGTAAATGCCAATGACTTTTCTCAAACAAAATCAATGCCAACGACTTTCAACAAACAAAATAGTTCGCACAAACGAACCATACACTGGTCGTATTGACATCTGTTCTACTTTCCTGACTGAGTGGAAGCATGCAAATAAATAGTACCCTGCCTAGGTCATCTAAAACATAAAAAAACATGGGTGTCGTATTATAAGAGACGAGCAAAAGCAATACCTCGAGGTGCATCTTGATTGTAAGCTCCAGCATCATCCACTTGAGGAGGAGGACCACCGTAGCCTCCCCTTCCACGCCCGCGGAAGCTGCGAGCCCTACCTCTTCCCCTGCCACCCCTCCCATATCCACGATTCCTCTCGTACCCTCCATCCTCATACTCCCCAGATGCAAAACCGTTGCCTATTCAAACCATTACAACAATGAACTCTGTTGATAAATCCAATAATTCGAAAAGGCTAAAGTGTTGCTATGAAACCAACTGGTCAAAAAAACCATTTGATCAAAATTAATACCAGATTGGGCTCTTGGCCTTCCCCTTCTTCCACCCCGACCTCTTCCTCGCACGGAAGGTGACCCCTCTGCACGAATATAGATTACAGTATGTTGGAAAATGAGACATTGCTATTATATATGAAGGATAGGAATTAAAAATATATATATATATATATATATATATATATATATATTTAAAAATACTACCTCCATCATAGTCAACCTCTGTAGCGACTTTGACCTGGTCAGCTGGTATCGGAGGTTGATACCTAGATCATATAACAATCCCCATAAATAATGAATAATCACACCCGTATGGATAGGTACTTGCATATAAATGCAACAAACGAACCAGCTCACAATTTAAAAACAGAACGACTTAAGAAATTAAAAAGGAAATGTTTTAATTACTGCACAACCAATCAAACCTTTTCATATTCTTCCTCAAAAGTCAACAGGGGACAACACAAGCGGTCCAGCCAAGTCCCATTAATTGATCATAACAATATCATTAAAATGCTGCATGGAGGCACAAAATGCATATTAACTCACCCAATATTTGTCTTGTCTAGCTCCTTCTTAGATAGAGTGATTGTGACCATCGAGACTTTCCTTGTGGTTTCCAAACTGTCAAAATGAACAAATGCGGTGTCAGTGCATTTTTAACTGCAAAGTTGAAATAATTTTTTTTGTAAATTCAAATTCTCTTACGTCTGGAGCCCTTCTTCCAAGGGTTCCCAAGTATCGGTTATATCAGTGGATTGAATTGCTGTGATTTGGTGGAGACCAACAATTCTCCTCTGAAATGAAGAGAAAAAGGAAGTCAAATATTATACATTAAGGCAGCCATAAAACCAAAATAATAATGGCCAATGCTATAAGAATCGCCAAAATAACCTTGATTAGCTCCACAATTGTGACAGTTTTATTGATGGCTCTGCCCATTGCCTTAAACACAATATCATCCGAACCCTTTTCCTACCAAATGGTGCAAGAAGAAATCAATTCCTTTAAAAATATTTCGCTCCACATAATCAACTAAATTGATGTGTTCATAAATCTTAAAAACAACTTATGAATCAGTATGATAATTACAAGTCTCATCTAATCCAAGATAATAATTAAACGGCCAAAATACTACAAACAAATGTTTCTCCACGTACCACATCGTGTCAGTTTATGAATGGTTCAATCAAGCTACATAATTGATAAACATGCATTTGGTGGAAATTTCTTATCAACAGATGAGAAATCGCAATCAGAATACAACAATCTAACCGAAAATATATCATCAATTCTAAAAACCGGAAACTCATTGCACAAAACGTGATTGACTAATAACAGCGTTCTTTAAACTACCACATATAATAGTCGAAAGGTAGTCATTTTTTTTCTTCTATTCAGTGTTATCCTCCAGAAAGTATCTATCACTGTGAACTGTTGGAAAATCTAACTGAAAAATCAGAAATGAGCCCGTTATCCTGATATCTCTTTATACAAAAACCAATTCATGAAATAAACCACCTAATAACTCAATCTAGACTTTTTACACATGAAATGAACGCAAGATTGTGATTTTTATACATTTGGGTACAACGTGCGAGCGCGTCTCCAGTGTAAAACCCACAAATATAATTGAACAAATTGCAACGCATAAACGAATATATACCTGAAGCAAAGTCAGGGCATAGGTTATGTAGCTCCTCATCCTGCCCTGGCTTGTAATACGAATCTCATTTTCATCAATCGGTGTTTCAGCTTTTGGCTTCTCCACCTTCTGGTACCGATCCATGATGCTCTACTGAAATAACAAACTAATAATTTACACATGTAATAAACGAAAAGGGAAATCGCAGAACAAATTCACAAAACGGAGCAAACATACTAATATTCCGCAATCAAATTAATGAATACAGAAAAAAAATAAATGCACAATTCGTTTTTAATAACAATACACAACAACAAGAACATCGCCGATAAGACATGTGAAAAATTAGATTCGAGAATCACTCATATCAAGGGGAAATCGAAGAACCAATATTCCAGAAATGGATACCTTGGTGCTCTGTGTATCTGTGTAAAAGATAATCTTTTCAGCCCTCTTCTCCGGCTTCGTTTTTCGTTAGAGCCCTAACCGCTCCTCCGCGTGCCTCTCAGCTATTTAAGGTCCGCTATCAATCTTGCCCTAGTTACTTTTACCGGTTGTGAGAGTGGCCAGTTTTTAGTTTTTCTAACATGAAGATAAATGGTTAGATAAATGGTTTTTTAGACCATCTCAAAAGCGTATTCTCCATTTCGAGATATATATATCATGAAGAAAGAAAATTAAAAAAAAAAATTGTGTATTGAATGGTTAATATTAACACTTGTATAATTTAGTATGTGTAAGATTGCTATTGGTTAGAGAAGATAGAGACATTTAATAATTAACATGATATATAATAGAGGATGTTTAGAAGTAATTTTATATCTAGAAAGACATCCAGACATCTAAAGATGGAATAAGTTTTTTACTTTGTCAGCTAGTCGGTTCATTTGTTCTGCTAATTGGACGATTTGGCATTATAAATTCTTTGTGCACGAATTCGTATATAGTTGGAACCTCTCGCAACCTTGCAGAAATATCAATGTGTTCAGCGTCAATGCCTTCATCATATCCTCGAGCGATGGACTGTGGTCTCTTTTAACTAATGTCTCGGAGTATCCATGGAAAGAGTTTGAATACTCTCTCAATCCATATTTGTCCTTCTCGGGATACATATCATCTTGCTTGTTCTTTCGCCAACCACTAGGTCATCTATGCCTCCGTATGCATCAAACTTACCTCGTAGGTGGAATGCCTCGTGGTTTCACAATGAGAATATGGTCGCACTTGAGACCTCTTGTAGTCGCTCCCCGAGGAATCAAACATAACCGCTCATCCCAATCTCCAATCCAAAGGCCTTATATCTCATGTCATACTCGTAAGCTACACGTAAGATATGAAAGTCGTGATAATAGGCTGCCATTTTAGAAAAGTGCTCCAAGCTAGCCAAAGACATCTAAAGACTAGTTATTCTTGCGAGTATGGTGATGTTTGTTATGTTTTTGTGTTTATTTTTATGTGTTTATGTGTGTTATTGAGTCGTTTTTAAGTTCGTTTTGATGTTGACCGGTCCATTTTATCATTTTCCGTGTGTTTTTATGTTTTTCGTTTTATTTTATATTTTGGCGTACTTTTTCGTGTTTTTAGGTTTAATTTTCAGGTTTGTTCCGAGGTCGAAAGGGAAGAGTCGAGCCAATTTCCGAGACGAGCTTCCCAAAGTCAATTCCGAGTATTTCGAGCCATTTCGGACGAACCATCGTCAACCGAGTACGTCGAACCATATTCGAGGTCGTTCCAAGCCTGCCTTGCCACTCGCAATCTCGCGCGCTCGCAAGCTCGCGCATACGTCCGCGCCGTCGAGAGCCTTGCAGCCCCAGCATGATCCCACACCCGCGCGCTCGCAAGTCCATCCACGAGGTCGAGAGCATTTAATTTCTGTCGTCTGCGCGCTCGCCCACATTCCCGCGAAGTCGAGAGCTTGTCGCCTGCCGTCGCCCGGCACACTCGCGAGCACGCCCCAGTTTCTGCGACATCGAGAGTGCACCGTCGCTGCGCCTGCGCCTTGCCAATCTGCCCGCGACATCGAGAGCCCACCAGCTGCAACGCACCACACGCCGCATCCCATTCATTCGCACGCCGCGACCACGCGGATATGCACGTGAGTTCGAGAGTGTTTCCGCACCCGTGCAACCGTGCCAACTGACCTGCGAGCTCGTGAATCTTGCGGCGTGGTCGAGAGTGTCTCATTAAGTGTGTGTGTGTGTGTGTTTTAGTGTTTGTTTTGAGTGGGACTATAAATATTTTTGTTCCTTTGCATTTTGGGGAGGAATCTCTCATTTTTCACTTTTCCTCTTTGGGAAATTAGTTTATGTTTTATTTTTGCTCTCTAGATTAGGAGCTTATGCTATTTTCTGGGAGATTTTCCGGCGACTTCGGTTTCTTTCAAGTTTCGAGCTTTTGACTCCGTTTTCATCGTCTACGCAATGGAAGGATGAGTATTTAGTTTTAAAGCTCTTTACTTCGAATTTTTGCTCCGTTTTTACTTATAATGTTCATTAGGGTAAATTTGGATTTGATTGATGATGGAGAAAATGCTTGTACTTGATTGCTTGCTTGAGTAGATAGAGTCGTTAATTGCTTGTTGATCTCGTTTAAGGATTAAGACCTAATTAGGACTTAATCACTTAGGGTTAGACGACTAGGGTTAGCAATCTAATGCTCGTAGCTCTTTTATTCCATATGTCGATTGATTATCATCCCGATATGGTTATGGCATGAGACTCTGGTGATCTAGTTGGCTAATCGCTCGTGATTTGATCTTGTTTTTAGTTAATTGCTCGTTATCAAGTGCTTATCTAGTGATAACCAACCCTCCAATCAATTGCTTAGAATGTTTAGGATTTTATTTTCTCTTTTGTGATTTGGACAATCAAGTGGTAAGTGAAGCTCCGAATAGCCTTCCTTCGAGATCGACCCGAGTCGGGTAACTCGGTTATCCCTTGCCCATCAAATCTTTACTAAACAAATGGCGCCGTTGCCGGGGAAGGCAAGTAGGACGCCTAATTTGCTATTTGGTTGTTCGTTTTTCTCGTGTTTCTCTTGTTTCGTGTGATTTTTGCTTAATTTCCGTATTTCTCTCTATTTCTCTTGATTTTCTAGGTAATTATTGTCTTTATTGCTTGTGTTTGACCTTGTTTCACATTGGTGCGTTCACGGGTATAGTTGTTGTTGGTGTTTATGCGAGGTAGACGAAGGCGTGCACCCGTAGAGGAGACACCATCGATCGACCTTTTCGTTGAGCTTAATATTGAAGAGCCACAACCGCAACCTGAAACCAAATTGATGGCGGGACAAGGAGACCAACTTTCACCACCTCCCCCGAACATGAGGTACTTTGCACGACCGATTATTGGAGACAACACTTCATGCCTTGTGCTCGGGGAAGCGGACCGAAACTATGATCTCAAGACCATCCACTAAACCAACTCCCATCTTTCTATGGCCTCGCCCAAGAGGATGCTCTCAACTTCATCTGAGACTTTTACGCAACCGTCAACACGTTCCCACTCCAAGGCCTAACCGAGAACCAACTCCTCATGAGATGCTTCCCTTACACCTTGAAAGACCGAGCCAAGACTTGGTTCATGACATTGCTTCCGAGCTCGCTCAACACGTGGAAAGCCGTATACAAGAAGTTCATAAGCAAGTACTACTCTCATCGAAAGACCACCGACCTACGGACCCAAATGGCTAGCTTTAGCCAAAATATCGGTGAGACTTTTCACGAGGCTTGGGAGAGATTCAAGGGCTATCAACTCCAATGCCCACATCACCACTTTTGCATCGATGTGTTCAACCAATTCTTCTACAATGGGCTCCACCAAACCATTCAATATATGGTCGATCATGCGGCCGGTGGAGACATAGAGAGCCACACGGAGGAGGAAATCTATAATCTTTATGAAATGTTGAGTGAGAACTCCCAACGGAAGAGCGTTCGTAAGAGGACCCCCGTGAATGAGGCTACACCATCGACTGGGTCCTCGAACGATGCCGTTCTCGCCAAGCTTGCCTCGTTGGAAGAAGAACTCAAGCAACTTCGGCTAAGGGATGCAAAATCGACCCAAGTTGTGATGGCCGAGGTATGTGGGTGTTGTGGAGAGGCCGGTCATGCAGGCCACGAATGTCCGAATTATATGGTGCCGGCCTACAATCCAAATCTTGAAGGAGTTCCCTACGACATCAGTGCTATCCAAGGGTATGCCCCTCGGGTTCAAAATGATCCATACTCGAACACCTACAATCCCGGGTGGCGAAACCACCCTAACTTTTCATGGAGGGATCCGAAAGCAACCTACCCACCCCAACCGGCACCACAACAAGCATATTCCCAACCTCAACAATATGCTCAACCGAACAATCGACCACCGTTCCAACCGAGGCCCGAATTCCAAGGCTATCAACCGAGGCCCGAGTTTCAAGGATATCCACAAGGGCGTGGAGGCTTCATCCCGAGGCAACCTTTGCCACCTCCACCGGAGCCCGAGAGAAATACTAATGGAGAGTCCTCGGAGACCCGGATCAAAAGCCTAGAGAAGTGTCTTCAATCATTAACCTCCACTGTCTCTACGTTGCACGACACCGTCAAAGGAGTGCCATCGATTCAAGCCTCTCTCAAATGCCTCGAGACGCAAATGGGGCAACTTGGGAGTTCTATGGGGGAAATTCAAAGGAGCAAGATAAAAGACAAGCTCTCGAGCCAACCCGAGCACTTGAATGCCATCACCGTCTTGAAGAGTAGTAAAAAAGTTGATAATCGTGTTGAGATGCCAAAGGAAAATGAGGTAGTTGAGGAGATAGTTGTTGAGGACGATGATGAACCGGGCGAGAAGGTTGAGGTTTCGAAAGGGAAAGCCGTTGTTGATGAAAGAATCGAGAAGGGGAGTTCGAAGAAGGAAACCCGTGAGGCTTTGCATAAAGCAGATGTACCCTACCGACCACCGGTTCCTTTCCCGAGCCGCTTGCAAGATACAAAGAAGGAGCGTCAATTCAAAGATCTCTTTGACATGCTCTCGAAGGTAAATGTCAATCTCCCTCTCTTAAAGGTTATTCGAAATGTCCTGGCATACGTGCAATTTTTCAAGGATTTGGCCTCCAAGAAGAGGAAGTTCGGGGATAATGAGAAAGTCATGATTTCCGAGGTAGCCTCGACTACCATACCTCGGAAAGAATGTGACCCGGGAGCCTTTGACCATGAAGATTACATTCGGGAATGGGAAGACTACAACCGGGATGCTAGACTTGAGAGCCGGTATAAACCTCATGCTTTATTCTATCTATAAAAAATTGGGTTTGCAAGGGCTTAAGCCGACTCGGATGAGCCTCCAATTGGCGGACCGAACTTTGAGGGAGCCAAAGGGAATTATTGAGGATGTATTGGTCAAAGTTGGGTCAATTGTTGTGCCGGTCCATTTCGTAGTCCTTGATGTTGGAGACGTCCCGAACACCGGGAAGGAGCACACTATCTTGCTTGGGCGACCCTTTATGGCGACGACCAACACCATTATCGACGTCAAGGAGGGACGAGTCACTCTCTCGGCTCATGGAGAGATGGCTACTTTCACGATGAACAATGCCCGGGAAGCTCCACCCAAAGTTGGCCAATGCTCGTTTATGGAGGACATAGACAAAGAGGTACACCTCAATTCTAATCGTAAATTATCTAATGAAAATAATGTTGTAGGTAAAGAGGATGTGCTTGAATTGCAAAATGATGTCGGAGGTGGTAGTAGTTCAAAATCAAGTAAGAAAGGGGCGAGAAAGAAGTCTAAGAAAGGGGATGCAAAACTGAGAGATAGCCCACCGAGTTCGAATGATGATTTGATTTTCGGGGTTTGGAAACTCACAAAAAACGGAATGAAATTTGAGGGAGGTGAGGAGTTGAAGAAGAAACCCCCGGTATCCCTGAGGAGTAGGTGGATGAATGTGTTTGGCGACGAGCTCGAGAATGAAAGTGGAGGAGCTCGTCGAGCCATGCCCGGTTGATCGATGAATGGATGGGAAAGTCGAGCTCACGACTATAAACCGAGTGCTTCGTGGGAGGCAACCCATGTTTTTATTTTCATTTTTCTCATCTTTTCCTTTTTATATATATAAAAAAAATCGAGAGCTCGTGCCGACCTGCTCGGCAATCCCGACTTGTTAGAGTCGAGCCAAAAAAATTGAGCGAAATCGAGTATTTATAGTATAGGTGAGTCGAGTTGAAAATTGGAGCGAAAAATGGTAAAATACGGCTAAGTGTAAGGCATACACATCCAGCAGCTCGCGAGCCCGCACATCGCCCCGCGACCCCAAGCCCAGTACTCGCGCGCTCGCGCAGCCCCCCGCGCGCTCGCGGCACCCCCAAGCCCCAGCACTTCAGGCTAGCACCT